CCGGACGTGTGTAGGGTTGTGGCTAGTGGAGCTGCTGCGTTGCTGAGGCGCTGCAGGCTGGGCCAGGCAGGCTAGGGTGCTGCTGCGTGTTAGGGCTACTGGTGTGGGTGAGTACTATTAGCGTGGTGTGCTGGGTAGAGGGCATAGGCTTGGTGAGGCTGCGAGAGAAAGCTGGAGGTTATGGGGCATGCGTGTGTGTGGAGGCGTTTTGGGCATGGCAAGCAGGCTGTTGGCGAGAAAGAGAAGGCTTGGGCGAGAGGGGAAGGGGCTGCATGTGTGAGCTGGTGTGTGGAGGCTGGCAGAAGGAATGTTGTGCGAGAAAGAGGGAGGCAGTAGACGTGTGTGAGTTGATGTCTGGAACTGCGGTTAGGGTAATTTTGGAAAAGACGATGAACAGTAGCTGTCTCTTTTTTTTTTATATAGAAAAAGAGAGCTTTTATACTTGGTTATTAGGGTTTTCTTGGGCTAAGTTTAGTTTAGTCCCTCGTCTCGCAAACTCATTTTATTTCGATCCTTTTCTCCTCTCATTTTTAATTGCATCTCCTAATTTTATTTTTTTAGTCTCTTTTCTTTTTTATATCTTTATTTATTTATTATTTTATTTTTTTGGAAAAAATTGGGTGCTAACATAGCCCCTTTTTTATTAATTATTTTAATTCTTATTATTATGGATTATTAGGAAGAAATACATGATATGCTTTCACTTTTTAAAATAATCATATATTTTAGATTATAATACTCTAATTATTTAAAACTTATTTATTTAATTTGACGTCATTTCTTATAAAAGTTCTCATAAAATTAATTTTTTTATTTTTTGTTAAATTTTATTTTTGAATAAATATGATTTCTTTTATCTATGCATGGATTTTGAAACAAAATTTTAGAATATGATTATTTTTTCTTTTTTTTTTAATATAAACAATATAATTTATAGGATAAATTCTTAAAATTATTGAATCATAGTTCTATATGAAAGTTCTGTGCATGAGAACTCACCATGTACATATGGCCTAGAAGAAGAAAAAAACAAAATAAAAAGGTAAAAAAGAAAAAGAAGGAATTCATGTGTTTTTTTATTTACTACTTTTTTATGTAATCACAATGCGTGTGTTTTATATATGATATGCTTTCACTTTTTAAAATAATGCCATGTATGCATGGCATTAAATTATTTATTTATATATATAAAAAAAAGTGGGGAAAAAGAGGAGAATTTTATGATTTGTTTAAAAAAAATTTCAGATTTTTTTTTCAATTTTTTTTAAATTTAATGCCATGTGTCAAGCATCCCGTCGGTCTTAAGTTAGAAATTATCACCGTTGCCTAAAAAGCTTGAAAGAGGGACGAAATTTAGACACGAATTAAGAGTAAAGCGACACGATTATTGAAAATTTTAATAGAGGGATACGATTAAGATAAATAAAACAATAGAAAGATATCGAGTACCTTTAATCAATTAATTTAATGTGTTGCTTTTTTTTTTTTAATACTACACTTTAGTTCTTAATTTTTATAGCCACTTTTGTTTTATTTCAAATTTTATTTGCGTCAAGTTTTGGTCTCTCGGCTGTAGAAACAAAAATTAATTTTTTGATGAATTTAATATGTAAATTTTCTTAAGGTATTATTAAATTCACCAATCAAATTGTTATTTTCACTATTTTTCTCCAGATAATTATCAATACACCATTCACCAATAGCTATTGTGTAAAAAATATTAAAGGAGGGTTTATTGGTAATTTTCAAAAAACAATTGGTGGGAATAATATTTTGGTCGGTGAATTTAGTAGTACCTTAATGTTTTCAGCCATTTTTGTTTCGATTTTGAATTTTATTTGTGTCGAAGTTTGGTCCTTAGTTGAAGGGACAAAAATTACTATTCATTGACACAAATTATTTCTTTTTCTTTCTTTTTTCCTAAAATCTTAACCAAGCAACCCTTTTTTTCATTAATTATTTTAATTATTATTATTATGGATTATTGGGAAGAAATATATGGTATGCTTTCACTTTTTAAAATAAGCATATATTTTAGATTATAATACTATAATTATTTAAAACTTATTTCTTTAATTTGACGTCATTTCTTATAGAAATTCTCGTCAAATTAATTTTTTATTTTTTATTAAAATTTTCTTTTGAATAAATATGATTTTTTTTAATCTATGTATGGATTTTGGAACACAATTTTAGAATATGATTTTTAAAAAATATATATATGAATAATATAATATATATGATGAATTCTTAAAATTTTTGAATCATAGTTCCGTATGAAAGGTCCGTGCATGAGGACTCATCATGTATATATGGCCTAGAAGAAGAAAAAACAAAATAAAAAGGAAAAGAAGAAGAAGAAATTCATGTGTTTTATTTCCTACTTTTTTATGTAATCATAATTCATGTGTTTTATATATGATATGCTTTCACTTTTTAAAATAATGCCATGTATACATGGCATTAAATTATTTATTGTTATACATAAAAGTGGAGAAAAAGATGAGAATTTTGGGATTTGTTTAAATTTTTTTTCATATTTGTTTCAATTTTTTTTAAATTTAATGCCACACGTCAGCATCTTGTCGGTCTTAAGTCAAAAATTATCACCATTGCCCGAAAAGCTAGACAGAGGGACGAAATTCAAACATGAATTAAGAGTAAAGAGATACGATTATTAAAAAATTTAATAGAGGGATACGGTTAAGATAAATAAAACAAGTAGAAAGATATCATGTACCTTTAATCCATTAATTTAATATGTAATTGTTTTTTTAATACTACACTTTAGTTCTTAATTTTTTTAGCCACTTTTGTTTTGATTTCAAATTTTATTTGTGTCAAGCTTTGGCCTTTGGTTGTAGAAACAAAAATTAATTTTTTCATGCATTTATTATGTAATTTTTCTTAAGATACTATTAAATTCACCAATCAAATTGTTATTTTCACTATTTTTCTCTAGATAATTATCAATAAGAATTCACCAATAGCTATTATGTAAAAAATATTAATGGAGGGTTTATTGGTAATTTTCAAAAAAAAAAAACGGTGGGAATAATATTTTGGTCGTTGAATTTAGCAATACTTTAATGTTTTTAGCCATTTTTGTTTTGAGTTTGAATTTTGTTTATGTCGAAGTTTGGTTCTTAGTTGAAGGGACAAAAATTAATGTTCTTTGTTACAAATTATTTCTTTTTCTTTTTCTTTTTTACTAAAATCTTAACCACGCAACCCTTTGTTTTCATTAATTATTTTAATTATTATTATTATGGATTATTGGGAAGAAATATATGGTTTGCTTTCACTTTTTATAGTAAGCATATATTTTAGATTATAATACTCTAATTATTTAAAACTTATTTCTTTAATTTGACATCATTTCTTATAGAAATTCTCAACAAATTAATTTTTTATGTTTTATTAATTTTTTTTTGAATAAATATGATTTTTTTTTAATCTATGTATGGATTTTGGAACAAAATTTTAGAATATGATTATTTTTTCTTTTTTTTTTTAAATATAGACAATATAATCCATACGATGAATTCTTAAAATATTTGAATCATAGTTCTATATGAAAGGCCTATGCATGAGGACTCACCATGTATATATGGTCTAAAAGAAGAAAAAAAATAAAATAAAAAGAAAAAGGAATTCATGTGTTTTATTTCCTACTTCTTTATGTAATCGAATTAATCAATATTGTAATAGTTTTTATTTTAGTCTATTAACTTCAAATTTATTCCATCTTTTTTTTTTTCATTTTATATCGCAAACTCTAAACCCATTCAGCGTAGTTTTATCTAAGAAAATATATATTAAATTATTAGCTTTATTAGAAATTAACTATGCAATAACACAAAACACATACCATTTATTTATTGATATCTAAAATGAAATTCTTTCATATTAAATAATTAAAATTATGTTTTTATAGAACTAACTAATTATTAAAATACATTTTTTATTTTTTTATTGTTGATCACTTTATGAATAAATATATCAAATCAAATGTATTGACTTTCAAAACTAATATTCTCATCAACATTAAATAAGAATCAAAAATAATTTTTTTATTTGTTTATTTTTATGCAAATTTTTACATCAATTCTTAGTTTGTTATAACAACATAGTTTTATTTAAAAAAAAATTATGGCTTTTTATTTTCATATTAATTCATTTTTTTAGATTATCAAAAGTTTTTAATTAAGAATTCATGGATAAAAAAGAGAAAAAATCATGTTTTTAAGGTATAAAAATTAGATTAAAAAAATATGATGAATTAGTTAAATATAAAATTTTGATTAAAAACTATAAAATATGATGAAATTTTGTTTACCTTTTGGTTTCATATATTTTGACGAACTCATAACATAACATGAACCATCAAACTTGAATGATTTTTTAAAATTATTTTACAAATTTTGTCCAACCCACAACATGAGTAAAAAAAACTAGAAAAACAATTAAAAGATTTTTAGTTTTTACCTTTCATAGGACACTATCCATCTGGACACATTTTATAATTCACTTATTGATCATGGGTGCTAATTTTGTTATTCTCTATTTAGTGTTGTTTCCAATTTAAGAAACCAAGACAACCTTCACTTCTCATATATATATATTAGTTTGAAATTTTCGGTCTCCTGCGTCATGGAGAGTTCCATAACCAACTAAAAAGATTTGTTTTACAGATACAGTGCAAGAGAATTTTTATTCAAATTTCACGAACTCTTATCAATTGCTCCCGCCATCGAGATCAACATGTCCGAGTTGGTTGGTTGAGTCAAGCGAAGAATTATCAATATCCATAAATTTCATGCGCGAGAAGACCGTACGTTAAAAAAAAAAAAAAAATTGTTCTCACTCACAGAAGGGGTGAGGCTATAAATTAATAAGATTGTGTAAAATTAATTTATTGCACATAAGATTAATTGTGCACATTCGATGTTGTCGAATGTGACGTCAAGGTATAATAGAATGGTTTCATGCTCCTTTGATCAAACTCCACTAATTCTTCTATTTTTGGCATCCATCAAAAGAGCCCGGGTAACCTGCACCGCTAAATGTGGATTCTCAGCTACAAACGCTTCATATTTGGTAGAAAAAACAACATCCTCCATGTTTTTCACAATAAAATTCAAGGCAGTGTCCTTCAGTGTTTTGATGGAACAAGCATCAGAGATTTCCAAAACATCAAGAGCATTAGATGTGTTCAAGGATCTAAGCATATGCCTCTCGCAAAATTTGAGCAAGTATGGAATATCATATTTATCAGCTGCAAGGGCCAATGAGTAGACATGCTTCTCCAGCTTTTCACTAGGTAAGCTTCCACTGTAAAGAAATTCTAATAGGGACTCAAGTTCTTGATGGTTTAACTCAGGGAGGATTATGGTGTCGCTTGCAGGAGCTTTGCACGCATCTGAGTCCAGCATGTTCATAAATATTTCCGATCTTGCTGCCTAGCCATTTACAAGTAAACTTACAGTTAATTTAGAAGACAATCGTGCATGAATAGTCATGATGTCTCACAATATTCATTTTGTGCTTGCGATTCACCACTCACCAGTAATGCTCTATGTGCAGATATGGAAGGTCCATCTTCATTGCCAGGCTTGATTTGTATGTCAGTGAGAATTTGATCCTTAAATAAAGCAACAAAACTGCTGAGAAAACTTATCTTCTCATTCAGTTCATCTTCTCTGTCCTTCATACTAATCATCCATTTTGGAATATTAGCAAGTGGCTGAGGATGAAAAAAGAAAGAACAGGGCTCAATAATACATCTCATGATTGATTGTACAATTGTTAAAGTTTTTTTTTTAATTAATAATCTTTTAAGAATTAGATTGATTTTTTTTTCTTCATGTTACAAATTTAAGGTATGTATTTTTATGGTTTAAAAGCATAATTTATCCCTAAATTATAGAAGTTGAGATAACGCCCCGATTAACAGTTTTGACTATTTAGAATTCATCAAAATATATATATATAATTTTTAGAGAAATTTAATCATATCTCATGATGTGTGATATTGACCATTAAATAAAATACTTAAAAAAAATGTTTGAAATATTTTTTTATAAAATTAAAATTGATTTAGAAAAGAACAATTTGATTCAATTTGTTATTTTAAGATGGATCTGCTACTTATTAATTATCTAACAACAAAAGTCAGATTCATAAATAAATAAATAAATAATCATTTAACCTTCTTTAAACCTAACTATCATTAAATAATTTTTTTCTTAAAATTAATTTTAATTCTAAAAAAATCCTAAATATTTAAAACCATGTCGATTTAAGTACTTAGTTAATAATCAATATTTTTACCGTTAGATATAATGAAAAAGAAAAAAATTATTCAAAATTAATAGTTTAAAGTTTAAATAGACTAAATTTATAGTGCAGATATTATTTTAAATAACTCCAACAGTTTGAACATAAATTATGCTATTAAATCTTATTTGTTATTAAAAAATAGTTTTTCTTGATTTATTTCTTCCTCTCTCTATTGGGCCTTGTAAATCTGACCGAGGCTTCCATATATAAAGTAAAAAGTTCATTGATCCAAGCCATGTCTCATTAACAACACCGAGCCCTAACATGATAGTAAATTATAAATTATTATTTCTATTTTAAAAATGAATTAATTAATTTTTTATTTTTAAAACTAATTATCTCGTTTCTAGTTAACCACGTTTCATTTAACATTATTTATTTAAAAAAAAATATTATATTTTCTTATCAATCCTTATTTATATATATATATATATATATATATATATATATTACTTCTTAAAACATAGATCAAAATGAATTGAAAAAAAAAACGAATTAAGTTAAAAAAATAAATTTAAAAATATAAAGCCTAAATAAATAATTTTTTAATCAAAACGACTAATGAATTTATTTCTCGAAACTAGAAGAATTAATTTATAATTTACAACATAACATGATGGCTTTGAAATGCTCCAGCTTTTTTTATTTTATTCTATTATCATTATAATAAGCTATCATAGCTTTTTAAATAAACAAATGTTAAACCTCTTTCATCAACATAAACTGATTTGAGATTCAAAATTTTGTTTTTCTATCTATTAATTTGATATTCATGAGAGCAATAGAAGTTGTAGCTAATCAAGAGAAACTAACAATGAATGATAATGCTATTAATTAATCCCAGAATATTGAGTCAAAATCAATTTCTTAAATGATTTGGTATCTTGCCGGAGAATACACCTCAAATCAATGGCTGGTATTATTCAAGAAACTAATTGGATGATTACTGCACATTGTACAACATTACTGATCTTTGTTTCTGTCTTTTCCTGGTTTAATTAGCTAGTTGGTGCTGATGGAAACTTAATTTTTACCAATGATATTAGGAAGGTAAGAAATTAAAAGGCTAATTGCATGTGTCTACTGCATATATTAATATATATATATATATATATATATATATGGTTTTTTTTTTTCCTTAACCAACAAAGAAATTAACGGACTTGTAGAAAAAAGTAGAGCTTGCCTTACACGGATTTGGCGAAGAAGATAGAGGATTGTTAGCCTTATCAGTTGTTTTATCACTTTCAAGCTTGTTCATCAATGCAATCATGCTTTTAGCTCCCTCATAGCATGCTCCGCAAATGATATTCCTCGGAGGCCTTAACATTAATGGCATGGAGCTACAAATAGAGCAGTCCATTTGCCTTTATTTGAAAAAACAGAAGAAAAGGCAAAGTGAAAAGGAGATGTGATTGACGAAGGAGAAGGGAGAAGGAGGTGTTTCCTCTTCTAAACTCATGCCAGCTTTCCTAAATAGCTAACACCAAGCCGTTTGTTATACCTGATTCCAAATTCTTGTTATTCAGTAGTAATTTAATTAATTATGGACCAACTACTATATGATTGCTTCATGCTTAATATAATTGTGTATTCTGACTTGAAAAAATGTCTATAATTGTGTAATTTAATTATGTTCCAACTACTATATGGTTTAAACTAACTTTGTCTTAATAAATAATGATTGCATAATTAATTAATGCATATATACTCCTGAAAAACGACAATGCAAGCAGTTTCTGGTTATAAATGTAAATAACATTTCAAATTTTTAAGTACCATATATATATTTTTTTAATAGGTATCCATATGAAAATTAATTTTTTTATTTTTTTTATTTTTGGGAATTAAATTAAAGTGTTCTTGAAATTTTTTAATATATGAGAAATAAAATTTTTTTTTATCAGGAATTAAAGTGTTCTTGTAAATGCTTTTCATTTTTTGAGGATATTGAATGAAATAAAAAAAAACAAAAAAACAAAGGTTAACGAATGAAAGATGGTGAAGGGATTTGATGTCAATAAAAGAAAGATATGAAGTTGGTTGGGCATTGCCTTTTGAGTGAGTTCTAAAGAAACTACGAAAGACCTCTTTACATAATTGCTTTGGTAAGGGAAGAATCAGAATGTTAGGAAAGAGAGAAGGACTTTCCAACAGCCAGCATGTGTGAGGCTACCACGTCTAATCACCTACTTTCTCAACGCTAAAAATCATACTAGCTAGTATTTTATGAAGAAAAAGAAATGGAAAGGAGCTAGCATTTTAGTTTTATAATTAGGCCAGCCTGGATTGTCACACCTTACCCATGGTTAGCCATCTTCTTTAATGATTGGATACATAAAATGAATTTGGATGTGTATTTTGTCACAGAATTTCTTGACAAATTTTGGGTTATATAATCTATTGCTTTTGGGTGATAAAGGCTGTGCATTAATTACAACAAAATAGGAAAAAAAATTAAAAAGGACGACCATATGAAGTAGGTTAAATATGGCTGTCAAAGGTTTGGTACGGCAGATTGAGTAAATTATAACTTAGAATTTATAGTTTCACAAAATTAACAAATTAATTCTTGTAGTTTTATAATCAATATATCCTTATATTTTTCAATTTCGTATAATGTAGTCCTTTTGTAAATTTCATGCTCCTTTTCAATTTTTTTTCCCTTGTTCCTTTAAAAACATAATATAGAAAGAAAATTAGGTAAAACGCAGAAAATTGACATGGGGAGCTATAATCAGGTAGAACAAAAAAATATATTTTTTGAGAAGGAAAAAAAACTACTAAATTGAAGATTATCAACATCAACATTTAGGAAGGGGAACTTGTTTATGATACAATAGACACTAATTAATTAGTTTTCATAAATTACAAGAATTAAGTTATAATTAACTCTATAAAGATTTGTTATGATTTGAGATTTATAATGGTTTGTGGGAGATGTGGGGTTTAGGACGGGGGAACTTGCAATAAATCAAGCATTCCTTATGAAATTGGCATGGGGAGTGATGACAAAGCAGAGGCTCTATGGATCAAGGTGCCAGCGGAAAAATACTTCCGTTTTGTGGAAGAGAGTTTAGTCATGAAATCGTAGTATGAAATGTATTGTTTTTTTTTTTGGTGATTAATATCACATAAGTAACTTAGTAATTAACCATATAAATAAAAATTGACTCAACATTTTGATCAATTTTAGAGATTTGTCTTCTTCTTCTTTTTTTCATTTTTTTTTTTTCTTAAAGCCACTCGGTGCTTATCTTGATTCTAATGTGTCCCATCTACGATGAAATGTTTTTTTTTATTTTTTATTTTATTTGCTGATAATATCACATAATTAATTTAATAATTATTTATATAAATAAAAATTGACTCAAGTTAGGTAATCATCACTGTACCATACTAAAATATACATACGTTTATGTATTTTTTATTTTATTTTGCCGATAATATCACATAATTAACTCAATAATTATTTATATAAATAAAAATTGACTCAAGTTAGGTAATCATCACTGTACCATATTAAAATATACATACGTTTAAAACCTTTCTATAAGAAGTATGAGCATCATGTGAACATATATATATATATTACATCAGCATCGCCCTAGAGATTATTTAATTATTTACTATATTATAGGGAATAATTTATCAGTTTTGATAAACTATAAGGACTAAGTTATGATTAATTCTAGGATAAAAATGCTTGGATGATATCAAAATCAATTTAACTCGCATTGGTTTGGATTATCCAAAGCATGTTATTTTGTAGAAAGATTTTACATTAATGACTAAATTTTTTTACTTAATTTTCTACTAAATCAATCATAAACTTCCAAGTTTTGCTGCTCCATATTTGCACCCATTGATTGGTTGAAATTGAATTTTTATTTTTATTATATATTCTCATAGGTTAATTACATAAAAATACTCTTAAAAAAAAAAAAAACTAAGGGGTAGTTTGATACTCTTTTGTCCCAAAGTTTTAATTTCATTTGACTTTAACATGTAAGAAAGTACAATTACTTTTATGTCATGTCTTTATCTTCAAATTACTTTTTAATATTATCTTTTATTTTGTTTTAAAATGAAAGATACATCAACTTAAAATAATTAGGCCAGTGATGAATGATTTATTTACCAATAACTTAATATCGGTTTGAATCCTAATGCATGACACAGGGTGTAGTCCAAGATATTCAAAAATACATTAAGATCATGCACAGATGAATCAAGATATTTCATTTTCATCAAATGTGGAAATTATTTTTTGTTAGGATAAGATTATCCTTAACATTATCTTTAACACTATCTTATGTTAGGATAATAGTCTTTTTAGGGTTTGAATGTAACATTGAGAAAGAAAATAGAAAATGAAGAGAGAACTCTACTTGAGCAAAATTACCGAAAAGAGATAAACACTTTGAAAGGAGAAGTTCCAAGGCTTGTAGCTTTACTCGAGTAAAGCCTGCAAATTCGCACTGTTGCTGAGCCTTCTCCCAATCTAGAATTGGGCCAACCCTCTATTACCCTCGAAGTGCCATTCACCATTACCATACCCAATCCTCAAACTATAGCCCCATTTCTCATCAAGAAAATACTACCACGACAAATCCGTCCAATGTACCAATGCTTGAGGGCATCTATGAGCTAGATCTCCTAAATGCTCTTAACCTTACGCTATTGTTGCCACACACATCGCAAGCTCAAGCAGTCTCTACTATTAATCCGACTGCTAATGAAATGGAAAAATACAAAATAACCTTAGAGTTTAAGGCTGAAAAGTTCATTATTATTGAAGAGCGACTTAGAGCCATAAAGGATATAGGTTTAATGGCTGACAATCATTAAAACTTTGTTTTCCTTTTTTTTTTTTTTTTTTTTTTGAATTTTTATTTTTATGTGTGGTTTTTTTACCTTTGTTTTCCTCCTTAATACCAGAACTCTACTTACTCAAGCTGGCGAAAATCCTCCTCCATTCCTTCACTTGAAATTTTTTTTTTATAGCACTCTAAGGAATAACCTTCAAGTTCTTTTCTTTTATCAAATCTCCGCCCTTAATGTTATAGAATTAATCAAACTCTTTACTAGCTGTTATCTTGTTCCTAGCTACAGCAAGAGAAATGGCTGCAGAAGTGTCTTTTGTGATTGTTTTGCAGGAATTTTGGTGTTGTTTTGTTGGTGAGGAGAAGCACTGTTGAAGCTCAAATTTTGGTATAAATGATATAGAGAGCATGGGTTTTTGTCTGATTCTGATAGGGCAGAGGATGTGTGAGAGAGAAAGAGAGCCAGCTTGCATTTTTGTCTCTGTTTTTCCAAAAACAGATGCAAAACAGAGGCAAAAATTAAAAGTTGGGACGAGTAGAGATCGATTTTTTCACCTTCTACCTCATCAAAACGACGTCGTTCTACTATTTGTTTTATCCTTCCATTCTTCGGCCTTTTCAAGTTTAGTTCTTGAATTGCAGCTCCCTTTGCAATTTAATTCTTGGTTCTCTTTTTTTTTTTTTTTTTTTCAATCCTCTTTCTTTCCATCTCCTTTCAGTTCCACCACTGATTCTTTCTTTTCTCTCTTTCTTTTCTTTTATTTTTTCTTCTTATTTTTATTTTTTATTTTTTTTTACCCACTGCCTGTCCAAAATTAAACAAAGATACTAACATGCTTTGAAACCATTAAAATTCATAAAATCACTAAAATTTAAGGAAAAAATGGTGGAATCGGAAAAAATGCATTTTTTTTTTTACCTCTTATTTTTAGATCTTTGGGATGAATTTATAAGATTCCATGGTCAAAACAATTTATGAAAAGAATTACAGCAATTAACAAGAATAAAAGTATACCATCATAAAATTTTAAATTTTAAAAAATGTTTTGAGGCCAAAAATCCAAGAAGATATATAAATTAAGAAACTTACATTAAAAAAAAAAAATCGTTCTAAAGTATTTTTTTAAGGAAAAAAATAAATAACAAAATTTCAAGTGCGTTACAAAGATTTTATAGAAAAATATAAGAATATATAAACTTATTTAGAAAAGAAACTTTGAATGCTGAACTTACTTAAAAAACTCATCAGTCTGATTTAGCAAAGCTTGAAAGTAATTGAAATTACATGGCAGTGCAGTTACTTAAAAGCTCATCAGTCTTCAGTGTTTACTGGTAATACAAAAACTGGACTACGCACACTGTGAGTTCCATCAGACCACAAAAGCCATGCGGATGCCGATGCCTTAAATGACATATCTGGCAAGCCTGCACCGTTGACAGTCACAACAAATGATTTCTTCTCGTGTAAAGACTTGAAGGAAAGAATTGTGGGCTGCACTTGGACTGTAATGTTGGGGCTCGGTATGATTTTCGCTCTGTAAGTGGAGTTCGAAAATCCCACGTTTGTAACGGTTCGATGAAATTTATACAGAAAAGATGTCATCGGTGAAGTAAGAACAGTCATCGCTGGGTAGTTGAAGCTGAAAGGAAAAGTTTTGGCATTAGGACAAGTGCTATTGTCTCCTGAAATGACTTGAACTGCATTTGAATCAAAGCCAAGGCCACAAAGCAGTGTAATATAATCTTCCTTATGAGCATCATAAACAAGTCCAGGGTCAATGGCTTTTACTGGGTTGATATGCCCGGAACCATAAGAAATTTCTCCTGCTTTATTTGTGCTGGTATTCATGGGCCAGGCTTAAAGAGAGAAGAAAAGAAAATTAATCTATTGATTTAGAAACATGAATTCAATCTTATAAAGATACAAGATATGTACTCCGATGCAAATATTACGTACCGGTGGTCATGATAGCAGATTTGATTGCTGAAGGAGACCAATCTGGGTGAAATGACTTAACGTAAGAAGCTACACCAGCAACATGAGGGCTAGACATGGAGGTACCAGAAACAATGCTATACTTGGCTTGCCTCTTGTATAACGGGCCATTCGAGGGTGACGCAATTGGTGAGTAAGCAGCCAAGATTTCTACGCCTGGGGCAGTAACATCTGGCTGCATTAAATTGAGCATCATCATATAAAACTAGAAGCAACAAAGCAAAACTATAGGATTGCCTATAGAAACATGCGCACCTTCATGATCTCTGGGGCTAATAACAGAGGCCCACAAGCAGAGAACGAAGCAACTGTAGGAGCAGTAAAATCTTTGACGACTTCACTTCTAAATAATTGCACTCGAGGATTCCTACCAAAACAAAAAAGTCACAATATGTCACGAATTGCTTTAAAGAAAGAGAGATTCATCAACCATTACTTGGAATCTCCCAAACTCCTACTTTGTGGTCTTCACATAATCCTCCACAAGGATAAAGTCCAGGCCGGCAATAGCTGATGCAGGTAAGGGGACAACAACTGAAACATCTATAAGAGTATTCAGAACAACCGCCCCTAGAGCGCCAGCTTTATATGCCTCAGCTACCCCCTCAAAACGATTGCACAGTACAATCTTTCCCTTAACCAAGTCACTGTCGAGGCACCCTTCCTCACAAGCCCTGAAATGCAGGAAGTTGAATTCATTGGTTGATAGGAGAACTAATACACAAATCTGATTTTCTTATTGACTCCTAGTAGAAGATACGTACAAGAATTGTAGTTCCATTGCCAAGAATAATTTTGTCGATGAACTTGCGATCTGTGCTGCTTGCGGCGACTGTAAGCACCCATGGGGCTATGCTGCTAGCTGATCCAAGCGAACAACCACCATTTCCTGCTGATTGTATCGTAAGAATACCTTTTTCCATCGCATGAAATGCACCAATTGAAATGACATCTTGTTCCAAAGCAACACCACTTCCTCCCATTGATAAAGATATGATATCAACTCCATCGGCAATAGCATCATCAAAAGCAGCCAAGACGTCTGCTGAATTGCAGCCTTTTTCGGGATGGCAGACTTTATATACAGCAATTCTTGCTGAGGGAACCCCTCCTCTGGATGTACCTTGTGCAAGTCCATAGAAACTAGCATCATTTACGCTGTTCCCTGCAGCTATTGAAGCGGTATGGGAACCATGACCCATATCATCCCTGGCAGATATAGGTCCGTATGTCGTTGAGGAGTAATACCGAGCTCCAATGATTTTGCTATGAAATAGACATTTCTATCTTAATTAATGATAAACAGAAAAAAAAAATGAAAAAGAAGCACACAATACTTGTAATTATTTACTTATTGCATGTAAAATTTTTGCCTCCTTTGCAAGCACCCTTCCACTTCTTTGGAGCAGGTCCAAAGCCTTTGTCACTAAAACTCTCTGATTCAGGCCAAATTCCACTGTCAATGACAGCAACTATAAGATCACTTTCTAGAGAAGCTTTTCTTTTCACCGTTTCATGGAAGCCCATAAAGTCCCACGATCTTGTTGTTTGAAGTTGGAGAGTTGTACTAGGAAAAATGGAGATCACTTCTTTCATGCCTGCATATTATTACAATTTCAAAGTAGTTATAATTTCAATAAATATGGCAAACTAAGAACTCATCTTAGCAATCCTCACTCTCCAGCTTTCGTCTCTCATGACTTGTAAGGTTGGCAGCAAATCCGTTGAAACTTTTTTTGTAACTTCTGATCAAGGAATTTTCCACAGAGCTGGCCATGGAGATGAGACATACTTATTTCATTGATGCAAACAAAATTGCAGAGAAGAAAAACCAGCAAGCAAAATAAAAAGATTGAGATATAGTAATTACTACCTTGTATGGACAACCTTTTGTAAGATACTAAGGTGGTGGGATGATAGAGAGTTCTTCTCCCCTCGAGGCACAGCTCCCATATACACAATATGGACCTGTATGAAAATGGCTATCATTCTTTCACACTCATCCAAGAAAAAAAAATTAGTAATTTAAAGGGTAGGAACTTGCCTTTCTACTTTCATCATCAGTTACAGTACTGCAGTATATAGTCCGGATGATCAGTATGGAGATAGACAAAAAGAAGGGGAGCAATAGTGAAGATCCTGGTTTCTTAGACATGGTTTTAATTTAATTTTCAAAATCTAATACAGAAAGCACTGGCAATGGCTACTTTTATATCAGGATTATGGACAATGAACTTCCTTGTATCGAAAAAATCTTATTTCCTATTCTGTTTCGCGTTTGTGTGTGTATATATTCACTTCCATATCTGCAAATTTATCTTCCTCTTTAATTCATGCACAATATCCTCACAAATTTGCTTCCATACCTGACGGAAGAAAATTAATTAATTTAATGCCAGTGTTTGATGAAAACAAATTAATTAATGCATAATTATATTTTAAATTTTGCTGTTAAAATAATATTATAGTAATTTTTTCAATTTTTATTCCAGAGAAATGCGTGTTAGTATTACGTATTAAGTGAAAAAAATAAGTATTATAATTAATTAAAAATAAATACTACATTTCAAGATTTTATTTCTATAAACACGGATTGGATTTAAATTGGAGCTTTTACTACTGGTAAAGTTTGTTGATGAGAAGAAACTCGCCATCCAAAAACGTACGATGATTTTAAATCTAGAAGATACCAAGTTTCTCTTTTAGATTTACTTGGTTAAATTGTGAGCAAGTAAAAGAAGAAATCATTAACCCCTCAATGTAGCGCATCCAAAAACATACTATGATTTTATACCTTAAGACGTAAGTGAATGTGGTCAATTCTATTCTCAATACATAAATGGTTTAATTCATCTTCTTTCAATTCTTCCTAATCTCTCCTCTAGATCCGGTAACCATTATCAAAAACCATGGGATGGGAGTATCGTCTAGAGGTACCAAATTTCTGCCCCATTTGCAGTTTGTGCACCTTGCAAATCCAATATTTTAGGCACTTTAATCATAAGAGAAAAAGGATCATTAGTAACCCTTTAGGGCATCCATACCTAGAAAGGACAGAGAAAGAGAGAACAAACTAGATAAAGCCTCTCTAGTTAAGAGGCCAAGAGAGGTGACTCTAGAAATGAGCTGGTTCAAGTTCGAAGCAGGAGGTGGAATGCTACTACCGACAGTAGCATGCATTGCAGTTCTTGCATCTCTTCTCTCAAGTTTAACATCCCAATGAGGTCATCAAAGCTACATATTATTGATACACATGAGTATTAATTTAGAACTAATTTTCTAGGACATTACGGAAAAAGGATAAGATACAAAGTGAATGCCAGCAGTTGTCATTTAGATAGCTAATTTGGAGAAATACATAGAGATTGCAGCTATTGTAATGCTGCATTATTTAAAGGTGACTGACCAATCAACAAAAGCATATAAAATTTAAGGACCTTCCTAGGATGTAGAAAAAAATGAAAATCATGTTAATAACAGCAAAGGTCTAATCATCTTGAGACCAAGCTTCACTCTTTCAAAACACATATGGAGCCCAACAACAATAACGAACTCGAAAGAATTGTAACCCAATAAAAAAGAATAGACCAAAAACATGTCATCAGTGTAACCTAATAACAACATCCAAAGATCGTCTCTTCCGGACACTTCATCAAACACCTAGCCTCCGCAACTCTAACAAAAAAAATTGCTACAACGAGATCAAGCAATCACTAGTAAGATAGTCGATGGTCATGGTCGATCGAATCGTCAGGAGGGAAGCTGTGTTCTTGGATTCAAAATATAGAAGTTTAAGGGAAAAAAAAAAAAAACACAATAACGATGGCATCTATAGCTGCAGTGACCGACAAATTAGCACAGAAGACCACAGCTAGGCATGCATTTTCAACTGCAGACTTTATCTTATCAATTACTTCAAATCCCCTCACAGAATTGCAGTTTGGAGCTGTATTTTTCTCTCTAATAAAGAAAGGTGGATCATCAAATAAAATAAACTCATCGCAGTCCTACCCTGAAATTAAGTTGATCACGAACAAAAGTTAATTAAGAAAAATAAAGCAAAAATTAAGGTGATAATAAACAAAAGTTAAACAAAGAAAATAGAGCAAATTTTTTTTTAAAAAAAATAATGCACAAGTGAAGAAAGCGGCAAGAGGAATTATGTTTACAAAACAATCTTGGAAGAATAAACGAAGGGTGGAAGCCCTAATCCCTGATTCTCTGTTTATAGAAAATTGGACGGTTGATTTTAAGCTAATTGCTTCGAAAATATTCTGAATTTTCCATCGAACAAAACTGATACTTAATCTTTATTTTTTTCAATTTGACCATCAAATCTTTTTTCTTTTTATCAGAGTTTTTTTATTAATCAAATTCTCGGTATATATTTTGAACGCGGCACTCTTCTTTAAATTAAGTAAAATGACTAAAAAAACCTCAAATTTAAAATAAAAGAAAATAAAAACTCGTATTCCTCTTATGCAGTAGTTAAACTTCCTCTTCGTATTTCGATTGCATTGACAAAAAACCCAACCCATATTTACTTTATTTCTTTCTTTCTTTAATTTTCATGTCTTCAAAAATCCTCTCGCCCTTTCACCTTCTGTGTTTTCATTTTTCAATGGTACATATAATACACCAACTTTTCATCTCTCTCGCTTTTAATATTTTCACTTCATAGTCATCATCTTCCTCTTATTCTTCCTCCTTCCTCTCTTTCTTTTATAGAATAGAATCTGTCAACTCTCGTATCTCACGCAATTCTCCCCAAAAAATCTCTCAAAAATCACCATGCCCATTAAACTACCCCCTTTATCTTCTCTTCTCTGTAATACACAGAAGCTCTTTTTTGTCTCTCTTTCATTTTGGTGGTTTTTCCATCAAAGGGGCTATCTTCTTTCCTTTTTTTTTTTTTTTTTTTGGTAAGATGGAGCTGCCTAAAGTGAGCCTGGGATGGAAACGGAGATATTATTGCAAAAGAGGACGAGGAAGATGAATGAGATAGGTTTTTTTTTTTAAATTTAGATGTAGGGCTTTTTTAGTCATTTTACTTTTAGTTTGAAGAAGGGTGTCACGGGTGGTTATTTCATTGGACCATTAGTGAAAAATATATTCAGAGTTTGGTCGACGGAAAAACCGAACTCATTGCTGATAATATATATATATATATATATATAGTATTTAGATTGAAAAAATTAAAAATTGAGTACTAGTTTTTGTTTGAGTGAAAGTTTAAGATACTTTAAAACCAATTAGTTTTTTTTATCATGATAAAAAGATTAGCATAAGATTTTGAGTAAAAAACACCAAAAAGATTAGCCTATTTTTTTTAAGATTAGAGTACGTTATAAGAATGTTACCATATTGGTGTCTTGCTTATTTAGGAGGTGGGCGAAGAATATCAATAAATAAATTATAATGTAAGTATTGTGTTTAAATATATAATAGAGCTAAATGGACCAATACGTAGTATGATATTTATCTTCTATGATGTCATTTTCATTTGTTACTAAATCTTACATTCACAAGATTACCTACAATTCACCAACCTAAAAATGACAACTATTGTCTGATCACAATTTTACATGAGAATATCAATCAAAGGGTAAGGTTTTCTGCCACCTTCTTCACTGTGTTGTCACGCTCTTCGCAAGATTGCGAGGTTGGTCAACATTGTAACCCCTTAAAACAGTGAGATGATACGCCAGTAACTGCACCAAGAAAGGGAAGTAAGGTCAGTCTGGTAATGCTTAATGGAGACAAGGTCTTAATAGATTTTTAAAGGAGACCAAATGGATTGTTATAAATGACGGGGAAAAGGTTAAAACACAAACAGTAAGAGATATTTAGCGCTGGAATGGGAGTAGTAATGCTTCAAATTTCTCTTTTCTTTTCATGGACTTTATTGGCAAAAACATGGAGATGAAGAGAATTAAATGGAAACACAAGCCTCAAAGGTTTCTAGAAAAATGAAAATGACCCATGGTATAAATGAATTCTATGCACTGATTTGAAGAAAAGAAGTTCTAGCATCATATATACTTCTATACATCACAAACATATAATGCATTCGTGACCATCATTTCATGACACTGATTTTCTGAAGGAAATTATGAGTTATAATAGACTGCCGATAGAAGGCTTCTGGCAATTGGCATATGACTGAACCTAACCAAGCCATGGCCCTAGTATCGACGATACAAGCGCAGGCATGATGCTGTTTCTGTCAGTCCATCTATGTGCAAAGGTGAACTGGCGTGCCTGTGGAGCCACAGATTCAATGGATAGGATATAAATACTACTTGACATGAGGTACCCTTACACAGTTTACTATAAGTTATGAATCTAGCCACTGTTTATTCCTAATTAAAGACAACGGATTGTTCCTAATTAAATGCACACAAACACACACACATGCATGCATGTATGCATTCATTTATACAAAAGCAAATGGCAGTAGGAATACCTGCAAGGGAACTATATTAACTACAGGTTGAAGACAATCCTCAACCTGTGGAACTTCAATTACTCTACTAAATCCTCCAGGACAACCCGACACAGCATCGCCTTTTGAACACATAACTATTAAGCGACCTTTGCGGGCATGGAGTTGCTGAATGACTGACTGCTGCTTGCTGTTAGACAAATAAAAGGTCAGTATCAAACACACGAAAAATATTGGATGAGGAAGCATCCAATAGTAACAAAACAACAAACCTGAAGCAGGAATCACGCGTGGCAATGACAATAATAGGAAGATTCTCATCAACTAATGCCAAAGGACCATGTTTCATTTCACCAGCCAGCATTCCTTCACTGTGCATAAGTGCTACTTCCTTAACCTTTAATGCACCCTCCAAAGCTGTTGCATAATTGTATCCTCTCCCAAACACAAGAAGTGACTGCTCCGCAATTAATTGTTTTGCAAGATCCTTCATTTCCTGGTCAAGCTTCAGGACCTCCCTGACCTTGTCTAAAAAAAAAAAAAAAATTGAAAATATACTTTGGGGCACAAAAGGTAAACTGCAATAATATATGGGAAGAAAGGATGAAAAGAAAATTCAGAACTTACTTGGCAAGTCAATTAGACCATCAATTATAGCCTCTCTTCTTGTTTGACTAGAAATTGCATCACCTCCAATCGCTAGGGCTAACATGACCATCACTACTATCTGACTTGTGTATGCCTATTGATAACAGTGATCACATTGTTAAGCACTGATAGTAAATGAGATGGAGAAAAAGGAGTGAATTCAAGGCCATCACCTTGGTACTTGCCACACCTATTTCAGCACCAGCATTTATATGAACACCACAATGTGTATGCCTGGCTATTGCACTGCCAACAGTATTTGTTATCCCAACACACAATGCACCATTTTCTAAAGCATATTCCAACGCATGTAATGTATCTGCAGTTTCACCGGATTGGCTGACAAAGACTGCTGTATCTTCTCTGTATATAGGACCTTGACGATCCAACAGATCACTTGCAATTTCCATAGTCACGGGAACACCTATGTTTTTATGAGGTAAACCAGGAAAAATGAGAAAAAATAAGCAGTAGAAACAAGATTATGAATTTCCAAAATTTACTGACAGCCAAACATGACTCACCAGAAAGTTCTTCCAAGATGGGTCTAGCAGCTAGAGCAGCATTATAGCTTGTACCACAACCAATGAAAACAATACGTCGACTTCTTCTAATTGTTTTAAAGTGATCCTTGAGTCCACCTAAAAGAACAGTCTGGGCTTTGCAGGAACCTCCACGTATAAGCCTCCCCCTCATAGTGGTTTTTAGAGATTCTGGCTGCTCATGGATTTCTTTCTTCATGTAATGCTCATAGTTTCCTTTGTTTATTTGTTCAACTTCCATCTCAAGAACAGATAATGCACGATGCACTGATGCAGGTCTAGAAAGGGAACCTCCATGTCTTCCCTTATCATAGTCAAACTTCAGGATTGACACATTTCCATCCTGAGATAATTATCAGCTTGACAAGTTACAACAAAGAAACTGGCACTATGACAGGACTAATTAAGCAGCATGTAATGAGTCCAAGAGTCAATTTTCAAACATTTACTGATTATTTTGACCTACTACTCTTTACACAATAAGTAATCTAGTAGCCTGAGGAAAAAAGCAGAAACAGAGAGATATTTAAAGAAGAATGTACCAAGTCATGACTCTCCATTCCAAAAAGCCATGCATCTTATCACCAAGTACATTCCAGTAAATTATGTGTTTGCACCAAAGCCAAAGCATCTCATCTTTAAAAACAATTATTTGAATAATCACTGAATTGATTTTTTGAGGAAACACAGAGCATTTTTCTGCCTCAAATCAGCTTAGTTTTAAAGAGGGCTGTAAACGTCGTTCTTCCCAAGGTTGTAAGTCTTTTTTCAACCTATTCAAGTCGAAACCATTTGGACCTCTTAGAGGTTCTAACCAAGGAGCGCACAGATCCCAAAAACGCATAGTTTCTCTAAGGAACAGAGTTTATAGGGTGGTGGTGAAGGAACAAAGAATTAGGTATCAACTGGATGTTTAAATGCTTCAAAATTTGTCCTCATTAAATGACAAATGAAGCAAAAAGGCATGCATCGATTAAGAGAATAATAGGTTAACAGAATCTTTCACAGCCTAGAACAGCATAAAGCTGATTCTTTTTGCCTCCCAATATCTACCATTTGGGGCCTCATATATCTATTATTTGATATTTCTACACCAAATTTTATGTACATGACATAAAAGCAGAAAGAATTGACAAAAAAAATTGGGACACTCCAACTTAAAGAGGACAACCTAATGCAACTGAAAAACATTATTGTCAATCAACCATCTGCACAAGGGAATTCAGCATGCACTGATGCAGAGAAAAAGGTAAAGCGACAAAAGTTAAATTTGTTATCGGTCAAAGTTTTGGTGACCTGCATCCAAAAGTATAAACAAAGTTGCCTTTTGTTAGAGAGTAATATAAATTATATTATTGGGCCTTACCTAACAGCTTAAGCTTTTAGGTGAAATGGTCTTTTAACATGGTATCGAGCTTAGTTGACCAAGAGATCCTGAGTTCAAGTCTCACCACCATCAATTTCTCAAGTATTAAGCACAAGGCAATGTGGACCTATGCAAGTTTCAAGCTCACATGTTGGGGCTTTCACTTGACGGGGTACGTTAGAGAATAATATAAATTATATTATTGGGTCTTACCTAACAGCTTAAGCTTTTAGGTGAAATGGTCCTTTAACACCTTTCATTCTTTTCAAATAGATAAATGATGACTAAAAGCGTGGGAAAAAGAATTCAAAGATAGAGACCCTATAGATCAATACCATGCTGCAACAAGAGAGGATAACAAATATAATGTCCTATCTAGCAAAACAAACAAGATCCTTGGATGTGCTGACACAAAAACAGAAGGAGAAATAAAAAGGAAACCATGATTGCAGGTATCATATTTACCACAAAACTCATCAACCATACCACAACATCTTTTCGTCTGAATGGATGAAAAGGGAGCTCTACAAAACATGAACAGAAAATTCTCAACCCTTCTTACAAACTCCTTCGCTACAAAGTGGTTACCAGACCATAATTAAGCAAAGAATGGAGGTATGGGCAATAATAGAGGCGATGCATGTCTTAACCTCTATTACGAAGAACAAAACCATCTTTGAAAAAAGAACTGTTCTTTGCTATTCTTCCTGACCCAACTCCCATGATTGATATTAAAGCATTGTCTGACATGATCAAGTGTGTCAGAGAGTGTGTACAACAATCCAACCGAATAAATATGAGGCCTTATCCACTTTGACCCATTACCATGGAGCCTATCATCAAAAAGCTCCACAGAATATGGATCTTACATCCTCCATATATAGGCTGATACTCAGCTTTCCGATGTGGGATTTGAGCCAAGTTCTATACATACAATTGCCATTTGCAACTCCCATCCATAATTTCCAGTTTCAAAGGTGCATTGATACAATACAAGAACCACAAATTCAGATGAGGAAAGACAACATTAGGCAGGGAGGAAAGAGAAAGAAAGTGATAAGAAGACAGACAGTAAGGGGGAGGCAAGAGTAACCAATGGCATTGTAATGTCAACATCAATACTCGTTCATCAAAAGCAACTATTCACAAAATACATAGGTGATTTAGTAAAGGTATCGGAACACCATAATCTTCTTAACTGTTAACTTGAGTTAAACAGCTCTGTAAGCCAACATTTATGTAATAAAATCAACATCAACGTACGAAACTTTGGGGGATATCATGATGAGGTGCTACTGAATTTCACAACATAACAATGCAGCATATCTTTGATGTATTTAATGCAAAAAAATGAGGAGTTTGAATAAACTAGTTCTACTCTAAGGGATATAATCAACCACTTGAACTTGTAAGATTTTCATCTTGTAAAATCAATTAAGCATACATCTTAAAGAATATGTTAAGATTTCTCTCAAATATATATATATATATAAAAAGGGGATATCTTAAGATCAGTACCATGAAAGGCAAAAGATAAGATATTGACCTAAGCAAAAGAGAAAATGTTGGTAAAACATAACATAATAAGTAACAAAAAAAATTAATGAAGACAAAAAGAAATACCTTAAGATGAACTACTTCGCCATCCTCAATCACCAAGACCTTTTTTGTGTGCTCAACAATAGCATGACCATCACTGGACAGAAACAGCTCTTTTGGATGGTCATTATTTGAGAGGGATTTAGCATCATGAAATGCTGATCCACAGTTAAACTCTTCACTTAATTCCTAAACAGAGACCAACAGTAAACTAATATTAACAGAAGCATAAAGCAGGTAAATAAAAGCAAAATTGAAAGGATCAGACATAGTAAGAGTCAATAATACAGAGATTCTGATCCATCATGAAGAGTCAACGATCAAGCAATCAACCAGCATAAGCTTTCAGTTATAAGTCCTTACTTTTCCTGCTTGTTAATACTTTAAAGTAAAAGCACAGGCATCACTTCCTAACAGACTAGGGCTGCATTAGAGGAGGGGGAAGGAAGCAATCTCTAACAGTATTAGCTTGCTATTCTTCTCAATACTGTGAGAAGCAAAATGAGCGATCATCTTAATTACAGATTGGGATGCATGCATATATTTTGCAGCACAGTCTGCCGTATCATCTAATTTATGTCATCATCACCAGATTAAATCCAGTACAGGATATATTGGAAACCCCTGATAACACTTGAACCAAGTAAGGAAGCTGAATATATAGTTGCTAAAACTACAATAATGGACACCAATTTATATGTTTTCTCACAATAGAAACATAAATTTCACAGCTTCAGATTTTTTATTTCTAATGAGCCAAGTTTGTGAACCAGAATAGCAATCCTAAAGGTCAGATCAAAATTTTAAAAATAACTGGAAAACAGTGAACGCAATTATCCGAATCAAAATCAATTAAACAAGGCTAGTCAAATTCCACCTTCAAGGCCAATTACACCCTCAACTTTCATTACATGAACAAATTTTGAAACCAGAAATAAGCCTCTCTATAAATCATACTGTGCAAGGGAACATGAACTAACTTCCAAATGCACATGTTTCACATATTCTCCAACAAAAGAAATGGTTATAGATAGCCACAATCAGTATTATATCCATATGCATAAGAAAGAAAATTAGAGAAAAAAAATTATCAAATGGAATGTTAACATACATTTATTTTTTTCAATCATAGCTTTAAGCCAAAATTTTCAAAGTACTAACTAACCAGAACTGGGAAAAAAAGTTGGTACCCAAGAACTAATAAATTCAAATTTCCAGGGAGAAACTAGTGCTATTAGAAGCTTGTATACTTCATCGACAACTTACTTTGACACCCAAGAGCAATGGACTTCCACGTTTGCAAGCAATTAACTCATTTGGATAATGTAGGCTCTTAAAAATTAGGGCATAGGCTCCTTCAAGATGCCTCATGACTTCAAGCACAACTTCACTAAATGTGACAGTCTGAGAACCTGCAACACAAAATGGAGTAGTGTAATCTAATGTCACCTTAAATTTCACTTTTGAATAAATGTAAATGATGCAAAGTTTTTCAGATGAAATCAATTTCTTAAAAACCACTGTGTCATAAGTAACAAAATGCAATCAAAATAATTCCTATAATACTTTCAGAGAAACATGACACTTTCATCCAATTTCTGTGTACTCCAGCTGGCATGCAACAATACTACAATGCCATGGGATGTGATAGGATTTAAAATAAATAAATAAAGCACAGCAAACAATAGAGAATAGACCCATCACCAACTATGATCTAAGATCATTTTAGTGTCCATGGAGAATGGTTTGCAACAAATAATAGTTTTTTCAGACATGCTGCATTAAGTGGAAGGTTAAACATTATTCTGTTTTGAAATTATATCACCTGACTTAGTAGAAATTACAAGCTATCATTACAATGCTCTTGGGGGCAATACTATTCACACAACTATGAAGAATCATAATTCTATATGGTTCATGCTCCACTAATTGATAGATCTTGCTTTCAGGTTGCTATAGGTTATAACAACTATGTTACATGGACTTTCACATCCCCTGAGCAGTTTTTATGAAAATGATTCTGATACCTCACTTTCTGTAAGTAAATTGCATTAACAAAGCAATAGCTTTGTCCGATACATATTCACAAAATGAAAACTACCTTCTCCTTCATTTGCTTTGTCGAAGACAAATTTGGCGAGCTTTGGTATTACTTCTGTGTCAGTTTCAGATTCAAAGGTGAACCCATGTCGAATAAGTGTTTCCTTTAACACCTGAAGATTTCAATAGTGAAAAAAAAAAAAAAAAAATCAGCATAATTCTACGAGTAATTAAAATACTATCCACTTCAGAGCATATAAATAATCATCTAGCACATTGATATGGTTGAAAAATAAATAAATAAATCGGCTATGAAATTGCTAAGTAGATGAAAGGATGGAGTAGCAAAATGGAAAGCCAGAAAGCAGCAATTATTTTGGCTAATTTCATGTCAAATGTTCTAAGGAAGCACCTGTATTTCATCTAGCCAGTCATCAAAGGTTCCACAGCAATTATCAAGAATTTTTAAGGTCATAATTGTGCCCAAAAAGAGACATTTTACAAAGTACTTACAATCTAGTAACACCACTAACATTTAAACCAAACAATTGTATGCTTAAGTGAGAATATAGCAATGCAAGCAAAGACAGCATATAGTGTTCAAAGGGAAGGAGATTGTTTCAAGGGGTCAAGCTCGCTCAACCACAACAAACATAAGTAGCAACAACAAAGAGGGGCTAAAAGAAAGATGACACTTCTCTTGTCTCCTCCTTCGTGGACATTATCTAGCAAACAAATATGTACTTCTGACTAAAATCTTTAGAAAAGGCTGTTGTCAAGTATGGTCCCTGTTAGAGAGTCATATAAATCATATCTTAAAGCCTCACCTAATAGCTTAAGCTTTTGAGTGAGATGGTTCTTTGACATAGTATCAAAGCTTTATTGGTCAAGTGGTTACAAGTTCAAATCTCATCACTCCCATTTCTCTTCTAATTAATTAAGCAAAAGATAGTGTTGGCTTGTATAAGTTTCAAGCACAAAGAGCTTTCAAATAAGGGGGTGTGTTAAAGAGTCATATAATTCATATCCTAGGGCCTCACCTAATAGTTTAAGCTTTTGGGTGAGATAGTTCTTTGACAATCCGTTTAAAGCAGAGTCAGAAGAGCAATCTGAAGATAATCCTGTCTCTAGCATTTTTGCATGAATAATTGTTGCAGCTCTCAAACTAACATTATTGTTGCTGCAAACCTAATCAATTGCACCAAAAAATGACCCTTTGAACGAATCCTTCAACACAAATATTCTGAAGCACTAGTCACAAATTACATAATTCAGAAATCATTCAACTCCTCTTGACCTTGAGCTCTGGTTTTCTGTTTTGTTGTTGATAAATGCCTAATGGATCAAAAAGGAACAAGAGGAAGCTTACCCTACTACAAAAGCAAGTACTAGATTTTGGTTACAAAGCAAACTAGGAGAATTTCCACTGTCTACAAATAGAAGATAACTAGGATTCAAGATAGCCTCCTCCAGTAACTTTGTTTTATACAATCTACAAGAGACAACCAGACAAATCCAGTAGCCCTTAAGCTCACTGACCTAGCTAAGTTTCTAAATAGCTGATTCTCTCCCCGAAATATTCAAAACTCGCAATTATTGTTAACAGGAAATGAAAAGAAAAAACATAACAGAATGTTTGAGGAAGATTTATAGGCAATTTTCAGGTGCAAAAAAAAAAAAAAAAAGAGAGAGAGAGAGAGAGAATGAATTCACAGAAGTAAGAACTTTTGTCATTTCCTTCAACAGGCCTATCAACTGTGCCACTGATAAGACAAATACAGCTATGTCCTGTCCAGCCAACCTCACATTCCAGTCACCAAATAGAAAAGTGTAAAGGGGAAAAAAAAGATCGATACTACTGCACAACCACTAGCAACACTACAGCTATTGCTGTGCTTGTGAGGTTCATAACAAAATAATCAGCTATCACTCTGTCTCATCTACATCTCCTGTAATGCAATCATTACACACAAGAAATGCTAACACTAATACAACTGAGCACCCACCACTACACACAGGAAATGCTAAAGTTAACACAACTGAGAACCCACTGCTTCTCCTCCAGAATTTAATCACTATCTCAATCAACACCACCACCTGTTTTGTCAATAACACTTTACCTCCTCACTGCTTCATCCACACTGTACACGTTTTAACAAAATGTACAAGAAAGCTATCGTAAAAAATTAACAAAAAAAAAAAAAAATTGGTAGTGGGACAGACATGTCAGAACAATCTTAAATTTCTGAAAGAATGTGGATTAGAAATAGAAAAAGGTTTCCAGTCTTTCAGCTAGTCCAAAAGCAGCCTCAACATTAGTTATAAGTTAACAAATAGGATCATATTTACAAATACAGGGACGAAAATCTGCCAGAAGACTAAAACTAATCATTTGGGCTTGCAAAACTTTGGTAGAAAGTAAATGAAACTCAGCCTAATAAATTACAAACTAATTGAAATGAGTCCATAGTTTCTCACCAAGCATACTGACCACGAAAGTCAGTCACTAGACTAAAATATACAAAACCAATTCCACTTTAACATGGTGTATAAAAGAAGCCTCTGACATAGGCATCAAATTTATCAGCTACATGCATTACATTATGCATATACTTCTTAGGAAAAAAGAAAGAGGTGGATATAGTATTCAAGGAGAAAATATGGCACAGCTTTATCAGCCTGATCACATAACAATAACTTATCTCCTTACCAAGCAGACGGCCTATAAATATCTCTATGGACAAGGACATATATGCGTGAATAAGTGTTTGTGTAACTTCAATTTGCATATGTAAGATTACAAAAATATCATTTCTACAGTTTTATGCAAACATACAAACTAAAAAGGTACATCAATTTTAATACCAAACCCTTAGAAAAATTAACAAAACAATTATCTTGGGCCAGGAAAGAAACAACATTTGCTTGTGAAGTCTAGAGCAAACCTCATAATTAGTAATAATGCCATTGTGAACAACAAGGAACTCATTTCCATCACCAGAAGTTTGTGGATGACTATTCCTTGGAGCTGGCTCTCCATGTGTAGCCCAGCGGGTGTGCGCTATTCCAGCATGGACACAAAAAGATTCCTCCAAATTTAAATCCAAGTCATCAACCTCTGGAAATACAAAATCGTCATTAGTTCTATCTATGATTTGAAGGCTAAATGTAACATAGTCAGAAAGCCAACTAAAGACAATACATAAATATCAAGATTTGTGAACCATTAGAATTCACAACTAAATAAGCTTCGATATATGAGATGTGAGCAATAAACTCACTCACTCCGGCTGAGTGAACTTTGGACCTTAAGACAAGTACACTCATTTTTGGTCCTGAAAATTGAATTATGAGAAAAAGAACTAGTTGGAAGTTCTGTGTTTTTTTTTTATTTTTTCAGCTCCTTTATTTACGAATCTATAATAAAAACTTGAAAAAAAAATTAATTCTACCTCTTTACTAATCTCTTTAAAGCACTTTTTAGAGAACAACAAATAAATCTAGTGGCAATGTATTAAACTGTGGGAGTAGCTAGCATCACGAGTCATAACCATATGAAACAGAATAACACACAGAACTTCGAGTAAACATTTCAAAAGATAAAATAAGTGGTCCAAAAACAATGAGTATCCTCAGTAATTGACAGACCTCATGTTCCTTTCAAACAATGGGTGGTAAAGTAGAGTCGCAATTGGCATTAAAGGCAAGTTAGTTGTACCCTTTTTTAGGAAATGGGGAGAAGCCTCTTTAGCTGTCCTGTCCTTTCTTTTTGAGAAGTCCATTCCATTTCATGCCAGATAGATAGACAGATAGATAGAAAGATTCTACCCTCAAAATTACAGGAAAAAGCAAAAATTAAAAATTGATTGAACTTCCTTCTTTTTTGACTGCACTGTACCCGACCCAATTGACTCAATACGGGTGGGTACAAGGTCCGAACTGACTTTAGTTTAACCCGGAAATCATGGAATAGAAACACAAAGTTTAATAACATAAGAATAACTAATTGAAGTGCAATTTATCTATCTCCAAATCCAAAACATTCCATCATTAAGTTAAATCAAATAGCAAATAAATTAAATTCAACAATGTTGTGGTTAAGTTTAAAATTTCATCTCCAATCTAATGGGAAAAAAGAGGAGAAGAAAAGGAGATTTGATTACCTTGGTAGACAGATTTGACAAGGGATTCGATGTTCCCTTCCTGGCGGAAAACAAGAGGTTGGCCCTGAGAATTGCTGTCAATGGAAACCCCAGCGGAATCATATCCTCTGTGTTCAAGACGCCTAAGTCCATTGAAAAGAAGTTGGAGAATATATCTCCTCTCTCTACTCACGTTGTAATTCAAATACGCAAATATCCCACACATTTCCCTTCTTCTTTTTCCTTTCCTTTCTGCTCCTCAGTTTTGTAATTGAACTAAATTATATATATATAGAGAGAGAGAGAGAGAGAGAGAGAGAGGGAGAGGGAGTTAGGAAAGGAAGGAGAAGGTGTACGGCATATTTGACCTTGGACTATTCTTTTTTTTTTTTCTTGTTTTGGTCCTTCATTTCTCTGTTCGTTTTGGTTTTGTTTTTGAATAAATTATTCTTTAGTCCTTATTTTGAATGTGATTATATATTAATCCTTCTTCTTTGAAAACTGGTAACATTATTTACCATTCTTGTTGCCTCTTGTCTCGTAAAACCATGTGTTAAGCTGTTCGTAAATCCCTGATTCATCATTTAACAATATTAATTCTTTGAAAGACACCAAATTTGAAAATAGTAAGTTTTAAAAAAAAGTCAAAAAAATTAAAGAACCAACATAAATTTTCAAACTGTTTACACTGAAAACAAATATTTTACAATTGACCATGGGTAATTTTGTTAAACTATAAGACTTTTAATGTTAGGAATCTAATTCAATACTTCAAAAAACTATCAAGGATGGAGCAAAATAAAAGCAAAGATACATTGTGCAATTTGGGAAAATATTAAAGAAAAAATAGGCTACTCTGTATTTATATAATATAATATCAAGAGTTTGAATTAAATGATATTTAAACAAAATTTTAAAATTTTGAGGCAAATGAATAGTAAAATACTATTGATTTGCCTAAAGTCACAATTGATTTATTGTTTATGAATGGCAATTTTTGTGATTTTTGACAGTAGCATTTGTGTGTATGTTTGTTGTAGTTTTTGGACACTTGTTTACAAATTTTACATTTTGATTTCTTATTTTTTAAAAAAATATTTTTGTCCTTTTTTATTTTTTATCTTATTCCATTTTTGTTTTTTGTTTTTTCAAAATACATTTTTGACCCTCATGTTTTCAAAAAATATTTTTGTCTTTCATATTTTCAAATTTTAGAATAAACATATACGTATAAGATTATATTATTCTTTTATTTAAAATTATATTTTTAGTTTGTTGTTTCTTATAGAAATTTTCATAAAATTATTTTTTATTCTTTTTATATAATTTTATTTATTAATAAATATGATTTTTTTTTATGTATTGATTTTCAAATATGAAAATAAATAATTAAGTAATATAATTCAAGTGGTTTTTTGGCTTATTATTGATATAATAAAAAAATAGATTAAAATTTTTAGTTATTTTTATTGAACTCTATTAACTTCAATATATTCCTTATAGCTTAATTTTTTTCTAATATTTTTTATTTATAATGCACACTTTGGCTCACTTAATATGGTAATGATATATAAAATATATATTGAGATCCTTGATTTTATTCTAAATTAACTATAAATCTACATATATATAACACCAACTATTTACTATTAATTATTTTTAATATTCTAAAATTAATTTATTTCAAATAAAATAATTAAAATAATATTTAAGAAGAACTTCCTAATAATTCAAATATATCTTTTTATATTAATATTATTGATTTTTTTATAAATAAATATATATAAATCAAATGTATATATTTTCAAAGAGTTAAAAAAGATTTGATTGGTTAATTTTAAAACAAGTTTTTTTTTATTGATTACTAAAATCTTATGAAAAAAAAATATTAGGATTTAAAAAAAATTATATTAAATTTTTTATTTACATTATTATAGGTTTTTATTTAAGAATGAAAGTATAACGAATCGTATTTTTTAACAACAAAATCTATAAATTAAAAAAAAAAAAAGCATAAAGAATATGAATAAAATACAAAATTTGATTAAAAATGTTGAAATTAGATGAATTTTATTTTTTTCTTTAATTTAATATATTTTTGTAGACCAACAAGTATAGCGTAAGCTATTAAACGAAAATAAACATGCTTAGTTGAGCTTGTTGTGTAGCATAGAAAGTCGACTAGTAACTAACTAGATATATTGCTGCATATCCTTTTAATTTTTGAACTATATAAAATTAGTCTATTAACAAAAACACTAAAACAAAACCATTGTTTACTATTCATTCTATGAATCATAGCATTATTCTCCGAAACTCGGTTTACTATTCACTAAAACTCATTTGTTCTAATCTTTTTAGTATGTTGTGGTATTATTGTAATTTTTAAAGTTTCTTAAGGCATTTGATATACAAGTTGTTATAGTATTACACTTTGGTCTTTTATTTTTTTGTACATATTTTTGTTTCAATTCCGAACTTCATTTTTCTAGTTTGGTTTTTCCAATAATTTAATTTTTTTCAAAAAAAAAATTATTGGTTTTTTTACAAAAATTATAGAAAAATCGATCATTATTTTTTAGGTTTTTAGCACAAAATAGCAAGAAAAAAATATTTTTTATGTGTTTTATATTTTTAAATTAATATATATTTCATATTATAATACTCTTATTGTTTAAAATTAATTCTTTTAATTTGTCATTTGTTGTGAAAATTTTCATACAACCAACTATTAATTTTAGTTTTTATAAAATTCTATTTGCCGACAATTTTTTTCGTATGAATTTTGGAGGTAAATGTTAAAACATGATCTTCTCCTCTCTCTCTCTCTCTCTCTCTCTCTCTCTTTCGAAAAAAATTAATATAGTTTACATGATAAATTCTTATGATTTTTAAATTAGACTAGCATGATTTTGTGTGTATGTGTGTGAGTTATCTAAACGTAACAAATATACTTAAAATTATTTGTCTAAGAATTTTAGAAAAAAAACTAAATAATTAACTAACAATTAAAAGTTAAAAGAGAAAGAAAAAAAGAGGAAAGAATTCCTCTACATGTGAGGTATGTGTTAGTGTATGTGCCCAAGATTCAAACATGTTTAGATGGGCTTGAGTTAATTTATTATTGCATTATTTATTTTAATAATAATAATAATAATAAAGAATTTATTCTATTAATTCTTGTATTTTATGTTTGTATATTCCGTAGAATTAAATAGAAATCCTTATGATATGCATTTGCAATAGTAATTGATCGAAAAATGTGAGACAAATACTAATACATATAAATGATATCATTAAACGTCCCAAAGTCATAGCATTGTCAAGAATGAACATTAACTATATATGGATAGACTTGTGAGTGTTATGCTCATGCTATATGATAGCGAGTAGGAAATCTCACACCTATTGGCATGGTGATGCTAAAGCAAGCACTTAAGTGATGTTAGAGGACATATCACTAGACATGACTTGTCATGGGAACCCATTTGGTTTGAGTCTATGTGAATCTCATATGAGATAAGTACAAATGGTCCTTAAACTTTAAGTCATCATGGTTGTCTCATTAGAGGACTTATGCACTTTGACACTCATTTTGATGGATCCATTAAAAGATTGCACATGGTCAATTCGTTGGGTGCACTAAAAATCTAATAGAGATAGGTATATGCCTAAGATATGACATGTTATTCCTTGTATGCTAAAGGAGTTATCACATTGCATTTCTATAAATGTCCACTCGAGAAATCTATGACCACAGTAGGAGTACACCAATAGAGTATCGTTAGTTTATTGTAAGAGTTAAAACATTTAAGAATTAAAGAAAACCTTTGTGATCATAATCTAACAAGACTTATAACCAAGTTCGAGATCACACTCGTGATAAGTCGAGCGCATCGACCACGTAGTAGGCCACCGCCCAAGCACTTTCACGCCGAGCCGATGGTCATGTGCGTACGTATACAAGCATGTAAATCGAGGGTTTGAGCTTCGAAGTCCGTGAACCCTCGAGGTCCAAAATAGGCCCAAATGCCCAAAAAGGTTTTAAAATTAAAATTTTAAAAAAAAATTTGATAAATTTATAAAATAACCAAAACTATAGATTTATAATTATTTTATGAATGAAATGTGTTTCATTAGTGTACGATATATCAATGTGATTGAAGCATGAGTGAATGGTATGAATGAGTCGATTTAGTTTTATGAGTGAATGCTTGTAATTTCTTTGAATAAATATGACCTACGTGCCTTGTCTTTTCGTTATTCTATTGTATTTCTCTTCTCATCTTACTCCCTTTGAATGTAACTCAAGGATTTTTTTTTCAAATAAATGTAAAAGTAGAAGATAAGAATTAGAATAGATACAAAGAGAAGACAACGAAAGAATGAAGACATTCATGAAGAATTTGTAATAATTTTTCACTTAGGAATTGACCCACTAGTCACCCTATGGCTCTCGAGGGCTAGTACTAGAAATCCATTACCATTCACTAATTTTTGAGTCATGCACGAGATGTATGTAAGTTATAAAATTGATATTAGTATTCATGTTAAAAATAATATGATTTTTGTTTAGTATGCGTGCTAAGATGAGACCAACTATATTGAATCATTCAAATAAAATATTAAGTCAATTGCTTTTCAATGTTACGATGAGGGAACTCTCTTGGTCATTGTTGGCTTATTGAGATAACTCAAGGTCACTTCTTTCTTAAGGGAAATGAATAATGGGCCATGTGATGTCTCTAATCGTTGGATCCGACTTAAATGAATTGTTCGATTTATCGAGATAACTCAAGGTCCAATAAACTTATAAGCAAGGATTAATATTCACATTATATATGATTTGACAAAGAGTTATCATACCAATGAAATTACCAATTACATTAAATGTAATTGATAAGGAGTTACCTATCTAATCCTTAATATATGGTTTGTTGAGATAACTCAAGGCTAATGCATGTTAAAGGATGAGATCCTAACCCACTAAGAAAATGAATCAAAAAGTTTTCTTGAGTCCTATATTGAAGGTTATAGAACTTGAAGAAAATAGTGAGAGCGAACATAGATTTTACTTCTTTAATTTATGTTTTGTTTTGTTTTATGCAATTTAATTAACCAAATTGTATAATTTTATATCCTATCAAATTGCATAGTATGATTGACAACACATCGATATGATCGATCATTGATGGAAGTAATGACTTTAATGACATAAACCTCCTC